TTAGGGCTTTAGGGTTGTAGGGTTTACGGCTTTAGGGTTTTTTGGGCTTTAGGGCTTCAGAGCTTTGGGGGTGAGTTGAAAGGGGTTTCTAGTGCTTTACCTGCATTGTGAATCATCACGCGACAGCCGCTGGTAGGGATTCTATCATGTGTACCAATGCAAAAGGTTTCTATGCTGCTTCATAAGTTGGACTTAAAGTGGTCAAATCATAAAGGTTTAACGGATGTTAATTGAAATTACAGAGATGTATACGGATGGGCGTTACACGGTTCTTAGAGGGTGGAGGAATTGCTGCAGGGTTGTAGTCATGGTTTCAAGTCGTGTAGAGGGTTGTGCAATTCTAGAGCCCTGCATCAAGCACCTTCATCGAACCCTTCATTACGGAAGCCTTTAAATTTGCATAATAGTGAAGCCTCAAGAACCCTCATCGAACCCTTCTAGAACCCTAAACCCTAAACCCTCATCGAAACCCTCTAGAACCCTAAACACTGAACCTTCATCGAACCCTGAACCCCTGCACATGAACCAAACAGAATGAACATTTCTAGAATCCTTCAAGTATCCTCATCGAGCCCTTCTCTAACCCTAAACCCCTAAACCCTAAACCCCTAACCCCTAAACCCTAAACCCAAAATACCCAAACCCTAAACCCTAAACACCCAAACTCTTAACCCCGAATACCCCTAATACCCCTGAACTATAAAAACCCATAAAAACCGCGCGAGATTCAAGGCAATGCTGCCGCGGAGCACACGTGCCATACTGAAAACCGGCCCCTGCAGGCTTGGAAAAAGAGGGTAAGGGGGGTAGGGGTTAGTTAGGATTTAGGGTTTAGGGTTTAGGGGGTTTAGGGTTTGGGGAGTTTAGGGGGTTGGGGTTTAGGGTTTAGGGTTTAGGGTTTAGGGTGGGGCTTCGCCTCTTATCGTAGATTAGAGTACATGATAGTAGTAAAGGAGGAAGGAGGTATATTAGCATAATACGATATGGTATACTAGTGTAGATTATGGTATATTAGGGTATATTAGGGTATATTATGGTATATGACGGTATAGTGTAGTATCTTTACCCAGATCTTCCAATGTCTCTTAATTAAAAAATACATTGCAACAGGATCCCTAGTATGATTCAAGGCGTATTCCAGAATTAAGGGATGTCCTAAGATCCGGATTATTGGGCGCCTCAGTACTGTCGTATATGGGATTCCCTTCAGGGCTGCCTGTAGGTGTAAGGTTAGCGTGAGAGCGATGATTGATGTTTAGAATAGGGTTCCTGTGCGGGCTTACAATAAAGCTATAAGACCTGGACCCGATAAAATTCCTTAAAGGGCTTACGGTGAGGGTGTTTTGTTTGGGCCTTAATAGTTAGAGTAGAGTTCGAGCGGGTATCCTCTAGCATGCTTGTAGCAAGGCAGCTGATGGAGTAGCATCATTACAACCATTAGGTATTCAGGCGTCTATATTAAAAAAACACATCGAATCTGGGGAGGACATTTTTGGATATCTTCGCTTTGCGTCCTTATGGTAGGACCTATTTTATGCGGAGGGTTTAGGGTTCTGGTGTCAGTATTTTATACCCGATCACTCGAAGCCTATGAGTAAGGCACGTGCATGGTATGCCTTATGATCTACTATACTGAACCTGGTACCCCCGCAAAAAAATATGATTTCAGCTGTTCCTCAGGGATTCCAGCAACCAGATTGTTTTAGAAACTCTACAAGTACCCCCAAAGTATAGCCTTGAGGACCCTGGCAGGCTTTGGGCAACCCCCGGCTCTTCCCCGGTCCTTGCATAATATCGGGGCCCTAATAATTAACAGGGCCGTGGAGCTCATTACAGTAGTATGATATTATACTTAGGGGCTGAGTACCTTAGCCCAAAAAAAGGGGAACCTTTTGAGTTATAGTAGGGTTATATAAGCCCCGAAAGGTTAAAGGATACCTACTCAGCCCCTAAGTACAAAAATAAGGAGTGCTGACGAATAGTGATGCAGGCTCCTGTAGTAGGTACCCTAAACCCTAAACCCTAAACCCTGAAACCGCCATGATTTCCTTTCAGGGAGTGGGGTCAACGCCCTGAACGTTTCGGTTGCTTAGCGGCTTGTTAGTTGCGGGCTTAGGTTCATAATATAGGGGCCTTAATAATTACCTATGCTATTTTGGTGGTAGAATATTCCCCCCAACCCTATTCTAATTATTAAGGCCACTAAATTAGGGTTTTTGAGTGTGAAGGTTCAGTCATCTAAGGCTAGCCAGCGCCCCCCATCCGAGACAGTTCGGCGGCTCACCGTCAAGTGATAACTACCACCGAGTCTGACCCAAAACTCCAAAAATGCGAGAAAACCGAAACTCCAAATCCGAATCAAAACAGCACACACCCTGAACCTTGACATCCTCACAGCTGGTCGGAGCCCAACAACTCTTTAAACCAAGGGTACTATGTTTGCTTCCTTTAAGGGTAACGTGAGCGTTCTTCTGAGAATTTGCCGGTTCTGGACTATGCTATAAAGGGGCCAAGCACCGAATTGTCATATACTCTCCCAAAAGTTTGGTTTAAGCTACATAACTACCATCATAAACCCAAGTACCACCTATTGCGTCCTGTGGACCCTTTAGACTCCGACATACAAAAATGCACTGGCTGTAGAGGAAATCCCGCCTCCTACCAAGGTGACTCTGGCGGCGTGGAAGCTCGAACCGGGGGGGCAAACGCTGCGTTTCGGATACTGCATTCCGTGGCTTCAAGTGAAGGTCAGGTTAGGGCTTTTTTTGGTATAGGGTTTAAGGCTGAAGCTGTAGGGTTTGCTGGTGGAATTTTCAGGGAGTAGAGGTTGAAGTTTTGGAATCCAAAGTTTGGGACAAGTGGGATTCTGAAGTTCGATTCTTATCGCAGCTGCTGTCGAGACAAACATGGGGTCTCCTTGGCAGAAGCCTAAAGCTCCATGTGGGCAGTTCTCTAAATCAGGTCCTTTTTGGAAGGGTGCCGTACTACTTTGGGCACCTAGAAAGGGAGCCTAATGTAGAGAGCTACCCATGTATCTATACTGTCCGATCTACATGCTTCAACCCAAAGTGTGCCTCTACAAAGACCCTATAAGACCTAAGTATCTACTGTATGGAAACTCTATAGCCGAATGCTCCCTCAAGGTCCTGTCGCATCTCTGAGTGTTGCTACGTGACAGGAAACTTCCGGGCCCAGCATTTTGAGGTAATGTAGGGACCGAAATGCTGGGTTCCTGAGTGACCCCTCAATAATAAGGGTACCCTTTCTCCCTGTTAGTCAGTTTTAATAAGGGGACCATACAATAAAAAGGGAACCTAGTCTGATCAGAATCTGGCTCCTTGAAAAGGGTCTACCAGGATTCCATAATAACGGCTGTTACAAGGATTTAGAATCGAATTGGGACCTTCGTAAAAAGAGTGGGGTTTTGGGAGGTGCATTCTACTATGCTCGTGTGAAGCATGAGGAATCCTAACGGTCATTATCCCTAGTTACATCTTAAGCCCCTAACCCCTGAACCATAAGCCCCTAAACCCTAAACCCCGAAAGCCCTAAACCCGAAACCCCTAAACCCCTAAAGCCCCTAAACCCTTAAACCCCTAAACCCCGAAAGCCCTAAAGCCCTAACCCCAAAGTCACAAGCAGCAAGCTGCCGCAGGCAAGGATTAAGGCTTAGGGTTTAGGGCTGATAGGGTTTAGAGTTTAGGGTTTAGGGTTTGGGGTGTAGCGTTTGGGGCTTCAGGAAGTTTACCCTACCTTATAGCTCGAGCTGCCAGAACCTACTATTTTAAGGGCCCCCTACAAATTCTATGTTATGGCTTGTCATGAGATCATACGAAAGAACAGGTTGTAGTAATTTAAAGCAAGCCCAAGGAACGGAAGTAAGAGGCTACATCGTAGAATGTCGGGCTTTTATGTTAAGAATCAACGCTGAGCGCCAAACCTTGAACCCTACCTCGAGCTAGCAGACTATAACAGTACCTAGGACCCTGTGTGTAGCAGGGACTTAGGACCCTGGGACACAGCAGCTGGCGCATGCTTCCAGCCAGGATCCTTCTCCAATGCGGCCCGTACCTCGACTTGTTCCTTCATGGTTTAGGTTTTTGTTTTAGGGTTTAGAGTTTAGGGTTTAGTAGAATTTAGGGAATCTCTACTACACAGGCCTTAACAGTGAGAACAGGGATTTGGAGTTAATGAGCCCATGATTGAACCAGGAAATCAAGTACGGCACCCCAAAGAATAGTTGTGGCAGCTAGTTATACAGGCTTCTATATAAATCGCTTGTCCGCCTGGATCAAGAACAAGCAGAAGGATCGGACAAACACACACTCAAAGCCAAGCCCGCGATGCAGCGCAATAATGCATATGGCTTTTCTATGCCTCTGGCTTATTTGCCTTAAGCCAGTCGAACCAGTTAAATAGAGAAGATCGCGTGGAATCAGGGGGCTTCTATTGCTATCGGCTATTGCAGAATATCAAGTAAAGTAAGCAAGGATTTGCACCTGCAATAGACATACAATGAGCATGACGCAAAGCAAACCGAAGCAGTCCGCATCGTGCTGTCTTATGCAAGCGCGGGCGGTTCAAAGGACTTCGTCCATTAAACACATGAAAGGGCTTTTGCGATTGTCGGGGTTCTCAGTTCAAGGCACGCCGAAGCTCCTCTACCCTACATCTTAAAAGGTCAGGCTCCAGGCCTGTCTGTCCTTTATTCCCCCTTCCCCGCCTGAGCTGCAGGCCCCAAAGCAAACCGAAAGCCCAAACCCCACGAATGGAGTGTTCGATCCGATGCCTGCCTCAGACGGTCTCTGAAGATTTGGGAAATGGGGCGTGGAGGGCTACATTGTACCGGACACGCAGGGACAACGAAACAGCCGGATTACCCTCCGTTTATGAGCCTCTAAACTCTTATGCAAAAAACCCTAAACCTAAACTATAACTACACAAATTCCGTGAGACCACTTCCACTGCATCTTCCGCTAAGCTTGAGCTACGGGCACCTACTGTTTCCTAGAAACTATGGATTATAGGGTTTATAATAATTATAAGAACCTACAGAAGAGTGGATTGTGGATACTGGTAATGGGTTCTTAGTCGTTTGGGTGAGAGCATTTACAGTTAGGTGTGGCGGACTTGCGGCGTGTTCCAGACCCCGTTTACGGAAGCCGCTTTAAGGGAGCTGGAACGCAAAACAAACAAACTTCTTAAAGTTGTGCTTCGTGAGAAGGCCCAATGGGTCTGGAGTTTGCGCCTTGGGGTCGCAGGTTTAGGACCTATATAGGCTTGAAGGGTGATTGGGAGTTTAAGGGGCTAATTGTTCTAGGTGTTGTGCTAAGTCCCCCCCGCACCTCTTGCGTTGCCAGATCGAGGCAGTTCTTCTCCTGAACCGCTTGGTGGGCTGAGGTTGCCTAAAGCCCTTTTGTCGCCGGCTAGGGTTAGGAAGTTAGGGATTTACGGTGTTCGGGTTCATGGTATGGGTAGTTCTCCAAACTAGGGTCGCTTATATGTTCCTTCTTAATAACAGTGTCGGGGCCTAAAACGGGACCCTAATTCAGAGAACTAATGTAGGGGCCTTAATTAGAATAGGGTTTTGGGGCCCACTATGCTATAATTATGACACGGAGCCCCCAAAAATAATATAGGTGATATACTATAAGTATAATACGGAGCCCCAAAATAATATGGGTAATTATTGAGGCCCCTAAACCCTNNCTAAACCCTAAACCCTATATTACCCACATGACAAGGTCAGGGCACCACAGTTTCAAGTTCGACGTCTCGGAGCTTCGGGCTGAGGCTTGCGTGTGCCAAGTGAAAGCTTGAGCCTTTGCCCAAGTGATGTGGGTTTAGGGTTTAGGGTTTAGGGTTTAGGGTTTGGGGTTTAGGGTTCAGGGTTCAGGGTTCCGGGTTTAGAGTTTCG